TTGTCAGAGACAGTGTTTCTGAGACTAAGGAGAAACTGGGGTCCAAGTACAAGCATAAGCACAAGCACCCAAGCACAAGGACCCAAGCACCCCATCAATAGCACCTTGGAAGAACTGAAAATTTATAGATCCCTAGAAGTATCTCTGAAAACAGCTGCACAAAATCCCAAAGCTTGGGACCGTACATTCTCCACACTGGAAACAGATGCCTACCTTAACAAAGAGTTTATAACTCAAGTAACTGGCTGGGATCATGAGCAAGCAGCACAAAATAAGTCAGACTATATTATCTTACTTTGGTGGCAAAGAAGATCAAAACATACAACCAGAAGAAGACAATAAAGCCAAAACTCCTACATCCAAAGCCTCCAAGAAAAATATGAATTGGTCCCAGGCCATGGAAGAGCTCAAAAAGGATTTTGAGAAGCAAGTAAGAGAAGTAGAGGAAAAACTGAGAGTGTTGCAATAAAATCATAAAAAACAAGTCAACAGCTTGCTAAAGGAGACCCAAAAAAATACTGAAGAAAATAACACCTTAAAAAATAGCCTAACGCAAATGGCAAAAGAGGTCCAAAAAGCCAATGAGGAGAAGAATGCCCTAAAAAGCAAAATTGGCCAAATGGAAAAGGAAGTCCAAAAGCTTACTGAAGAAAATACTTCCTTAAAAATTAGAATGGAGCAATTGGAAGCTAGTGACTTTATGAGAAATCAAGACATTGTAAAACAAATCCAAAAGAATGAACAAATAGAAAACAATATGAAATATCTCATTGGAAAAACAACTGACCTGGAAATAGATGCAGGAGAGAGAATTTAAAAATTATTGGACTATCTGAAAGCCATGATTAAAAAAAAGAGCCCAGACATCATCTTTCAAGAAATTATCAGGGGCAGCTAGGTGGCCAGTGGATAGAGGACCCGCCCTGAAGTCAGGAGAACCTGAGTTCAAGTCCAGCCTCAGATGAAACACTTGACAGTACTAGCTGTGTGGACTTGGGCAAGTCACTTAACCCCAATTGTCTCACCAAAAAAAAAAAAAAAAAAAAGAAATTATCCAGGAAAACTGCCCTGATATTTTAGAACCAGAGGGCAAAATAGAAATTGAAAGAATCCACAGATCACCTCCTGAAAGAGATCCCCAAAGGAAAACTCCTAGGAATAATGTAGCCAAATTCCAGAGTTCCCAGGTCAAGGAGAAAATATAGCAAGCAGTCAGAAAGAAACAATTCAAGTATTGTGGAAACACAGTCAGGATAACACAAGATTTAGCACCTTCTACAGTAAGGGACCACAAGGCATGGAATATAATATTCCAGAGGGCAAAGAAGATAGGATTACAACCAAGAATCACCTACCCAGCAAAACTGAGTTTCATCCTTCAGGGGGAAAAATGGTTATTCAGTGAAAATAGGGGACTTTCAAGCATTCTTGATGAAAAGACCAGAGCTGAATAGAAATTTGACTTTCAAATTCAAGACTCAAGTGGGAACATAAAGAGGTAGACAGGGAAGAGAAATCATAAGAGACTTATTAAGGTTGAACTGTTTACATTCCTGCATGGAAAGATGATATTTGTAACTCATGAGACCTTTGTCAGTATTAGGGTAGTTGGAGGGAAAAAATTATATGTATGTATAGATAGATAGAGGGCACAGAGTGAGTTGAAGATGAAAGGGTGATATCTGGAAAATAAAATTAAGGGGTGAAAGAGGATTATACTGAGAGAAGGAGAAAGGGAGAGGTAGAATGGGGTAAATTATCTCACATGAAAAAGACAAGAAAAGGCTTTTACAATGCAGGGGAAATGGGGGAAGGTGAGAGGGAATGAGTGAATCTTATTCTCATAGGATTTGGCTTAAGGAGGGAATAACATACACACTCAATCGGGTATGGAAATCTGTTTTACCCTACAGTAAAATAAGGGAGGTAGGGATTAAGAGAGGGGGGTGATGATAAAGGGGAAGGCAGATTCGGGGAGTAATCAGAAGCAAACACTTCTAAGGAGGGTCAGGGTCAAAAGAGAGAATAGAATAAATGGGGGGTGGGATAGGATGAAGGGAAATATATTTAGTTTTTCACAACATGACTACTATGAAAGTGTTTTACATGACTACACATCTATAACCTGTATCGAACTGCTTGCCTTTTCAATGCAGGTGGGTGGGGA